GACCTCCTGGTTCACGGGTCGACACTCAACCACTGAGCCACACCGGCCAGGCTGGATTGGATGTATACGTAATGACTAACATTTCATTTAGCAGTCAATACATTTTTGCTGAGTGCCTTCTCTGTCTTAGGCTCTGTGCTAAGTATTAAGGATATAGAAATAAGCCAGTCTTAGTCTGTCCCCTCAAGGAACTTACATTTTATTGGGGGATGTTGAGCAATGGGATCAGTGCTTCAAGAGAACTATTAGTTGAGGTTCTTAGCTATACAAGCCATAATCTACACAGGTTTAGGTAGAAGGAGCAAAGAATCGGGCTCAGTGCTACACAGCTGAAGGTCAGGGACAATGCAGCCAGCCAAAATGCCCAATCACACCAGGGGAATTTTCTAATGGAAAATTACCATCCTGTCATCTGTTGCTGGGCGCCTATGTGAGGGGCTGACTATTAGAAACTCTATCTTGGGTGCCCCTAAAACACCCAGACACCTCCATCATAGCTGCTTTCCAGGTGATATTATCTTCTTGCCTGCAGTCATCATGCCCATTGTGTACTTCCACCCCCAGGTCTTCTCAGGGACACCTTCTACATGGAGCCCAGGTTACACATGAAACCCAAGCTGCAGTGGAGCATGGGAAATGTTACTTCAATTTCCAGCCTCTATAACACAGAGAGGCAGTCTACAGGGATTGGGCAATTAGATTCTTGTATCTAGAAATCAGGAAATATACATGAACCAGTGAGCTGGGTCAGATCACAGAGGGTTCACCCGGCTGCAGATTGGTGAGCACGGTGACCCAGGCCAGGAACAAAAGTGCTTCCATTTTGGTTCACCACTGAAAGAGCAAATGCTCTGGTAGAGATAGAGATACAAGCGTGAAGGTTGCTCCCTGATGCCTCCCTAACACCTCACACAGATGCACTTGAAGCCTAATGGTCAAAACAAAGAGTAAGAATTCTACCAGGGCGGAGAAACCCTGGCTGTTCACTGGCTATTCTTTAACCTGTTGCGTTAGAACTCAGCACTCAGAAGTCTACTTACTGTCCTGAAGGGAATCCCTTCAATGGTAAATCTAAAACCCTATTCTGATATGGTGAAGTTCTAAACAATGAAATACTAAATTGTTATCATTAAAACATAAGTGTTTACTGAGAGACAAAATAAACCACAGAGACAGATACAAAGTCGTTTTCCCTTCTTATCAGCCACCAGACAGAGGGCGGAAAGTCTTGATTCCAGGTAGGGGCCTCTGGTCAAGGGTAATCCTTGGTTATAGAACAGAAGCTAAGGAGAGAGATCACCACTGGTGATCCTTCTCCTCTCCCGGGGAGGGGTGTGAGTTTGAACCGCAAGGATGAGAATCTAATGATTGATTTAAAATATTACCCCCATCTCGCCCTAGCTGGTTTGGCTCAGGGGATAGAGCCTTGGCCTGTGGACCAAAGGGTCTTGGGTTTGATTCCAGTCAAGGGCACGTACCTTGGTTGCAGGCTCCTCCCCTGCCGGGGCCCTGGTTGGGGTTTGTGAAGGAGGCAACCAACCGATGTGTTTCTCTCACATCGATATTTCTCGCTATCTTTCCCTCTGTCTAAAAAATCAATGGGAAAATATCCTCGGATGAGAATTAAATATATATATTTCCCCCATCTCTGCATCACTATTTCTCTCTTGTTTTCACAAGATTTCAGTAACATTTTGTAGAAATTTCTTAGCATGCTGTGGGGATATAGGAAGTATGCTTATCTACATTTAATAAAGATTGAATTAAGGAGAGGGAAAATCACCACAGATTCAAGACACAGTATGAATCACAAGCAGGATAAATACTAAGAAAACCATACCTAAACACGTCGTGATAAAACTGCTGAAAGCCAAAAACAGATAACATCTTAACAGCAGCCAGAGAAAGAGATGCATTACTTTCAAAGGAGCAATAACAAGACTGACAGCAGACTTCTCATCAGAAACCACGGAAGTCAAAAGAGGACAGAACGTTATCTCCCAAGTACAAGGAGAAAATCCTTTCTAACCTAGAATTCAGTCGCTCCCAAAACATTCAAGAATAAAGGAGAAACAAAGATGTTTTCAAACTAATAAAAACCAGAAGAATTCGGCAGCAGCAGCAGACCGGCACTAAAGGAGATACTGCAAGGGTGTTTTCAGGTAGAAACGAATGGTCCCAGATGGAGGCTTGAAGATATACATCAATAGAAACAGATACAGATATTCATACAATGTAATACTCAATATATATGAATATTCATGGGATCATTCTTTCTAATGGCAAAAATATTAATATTCAGATGTGTACCAATATTCATACATGGATTACTATACTAGTAATGCAATAAAAGTTAGTAAAATAGACTTACACTCCCACCCAAGATGGAGTAATAAAGACTAGATTTACTCGCCTGCCTGAAATAATAACAAAATGACAAAATCTATAAGATAAACATTTTCAAGGCATTGGATAGCAGGCAATGATCCTTAGCTGGCTTCCCCTACCCACCTCTAGACCTCACCCACCCCACCCCCAGACTTAAGTCACCCATTTCAAGGAGACTGGGCCCTCAGAGACTGAGCAGTGAGAAGGACAGTAAGACTTTGGGCACAGCCCTGGCACCCCCACCCCCCACCCCACCTTCCCACCTGCTTTCCAGGTCTATCAGCAATGGCCTCATCTGTCCCAGTCCTCCCCATCCAAACTTCAGCCCCGCCCCTCCTGATGCCCCTTCACACTCAGCTCCCTCCTGCTGTATCTCCTGCTGCCTCATACGCACAGGACCAGGCCTTACAGTGCCCTCTCCTTATTTCATGCCCAGAGGAGGGGCTCTGCCCAGGGATCCTTCTGCGGGGAGAGGCCACTCAGCAGGGAGACAAACCCGTGGGACATGGGGTCTCACTCGGGGAGAATTGATGGACCCCAGTCCTGTTCAGAGAGCAGCTACAGGGGCTGGAGATCCTGAGAAACCTTTTCCATTTTCCCTGTGGAGTCTGTATAGAATGGATCCTGAGTACACTGTGTGGAGTCTGCATAAAGAGTGTATCAGCGTGTAAAAGAGAATGTGGGTATGTGTCCGGGTGAGAATGCCTCTGTGTTTGAGTATGAGAGGAGCTGAGCCCACAATACACCCTACACACCCTTCTCCAACTCTGGGGAGGTGAGGGCAGGAGTTGGGCGCCACCTGGTGGCCAAGGGCTGCACTACAAGCCCCATCCTCTTCACCCCCGATCTCCCGGTCCGCCCCCTTCAAGACGCGCACACGCGACCGAGCCCAGATCCTCCTCTGGCGCCTCCATCCACTTGCTCACCGTTCCTACGTCCCAGGACAGTCCCGCAGGGACTGCGACAGAGACCCTGTCCTGAGTGTCCTCCCTCCACCCGGGAGTAAGCCCTTGCTTGCAGGGGAGTCGTGCAGGAGGGTGCACACTCCAACTTCCGACGATTACTTAACCTCTCTGAACCTCAAGCTACTTGGTTACAGAACCAGGCGATGGTAGCCACTCCGCAGAATCACTGTGAGTTTTTATGTAAAATGAGACCATTAAATTGGGAAGGCAGGGCATGGGGCCAAGCCCTCTGTTCTCTCACCTGGTGAGGGCTGCCCACAGGCTCTTGCAGAAGCACCGCACTCCCATCCTCCTCCGGCAGTCTGTCCCGCCGTCCAGCCCGCAGTCCCTCGGGCCGAAGGTCGCGCCCACCCTCCAGACCGCGGTCGCGCCCTACGTCCGTCGCGCCCAACGTCAGGCCCCGCCTCCCACCTTCCGTCCCGTTCGGTCCCGTCCCGCCTCTCGGCCGCCAAGACAGCTGCCCCGCCCATCCTCCCCAGGGAGCTCCCTCCTGTCAGAGGCTCCACCCAACACCTGGCTGCTGGTGACTGAGGCCACATGGACCCACCTTCTGGGGTACCTGCCAGTCCTACCTCTGCCCCCACCCCATGCAATTGGTCACCAAGTTCTGCCGATCCCACGTGTCTTGAATTCCTCTCCCTCTCGCCCAGCCCAGGGCACAGAGAACAGCCCTGGGATGATCCCTGCCCTGCCCAAGCTCTCCCGCACTGACAACCTTTCTCTGGCTCCCCACTGCCCACAAAATAAAGCCAAACTCCACAGCCTGCCATTCAAGGCCCTCTGTGACCTGGCCTTATGTTTCCCTCCATCTCTCCATTCCCTGTGTGCCTGCCCTTCTCTGAGCCTTTGTATGAGCAATTTCTGCTACCAGGAGTGCCTGCCCCCTTTTACCCACAGGAAAACAACACCGGCTCATCTTCCAAACCTCACTGTGGTTCTTCTCAGGGTGATGATCCTGCCTGGAGCCCGTGGTCAGTGTCCCATAGGGTTGTCATGGCCTGAATCTGAGCTTGGATCTGTCTCCCCTACCAGGCTGCTAGACCCTCCAGATCAGGGACAAGGACAAAGTTAGCTCTAGGCCGCAGCGCAGGGTCCTGCCTGCCTGCCTGCCTGCGTGTGGGAGAAAATATGTGTGAGTTGTGCGCTCAATTTGATGGCAAGGAGCGATATGTCACAGCATGGGCCTGAAATGGGATTAAATGGCCTCAAGGGAAGGTTGGGCTGAGGACAGACATCAAATGCAGGGGAGACGATTAAGGCCCAGGATGTGCACCCAGGTTATGCCTCCCCTTTGCCCAAAGGCCGTGGAAGAGGGACATGCAGACACATTCAGGGTTGGGGGTCACAAACAGAGGAGTACTCATGCTGGTCCACACTGAAGCTAGTGTCAGCTGGGCAACATTAGAATAGCCGTCCCCTGTCAGCCTTGGGCCAGGAACTGACCACCACCCCCACCTAGGGCCCACTGGTCAGACTGGGTTCTGTTAGAGGACAGAGTCAGACTGGGGGAGCCCAAAGCAGAGGCTGGGCAGGGAGTGACCTGGAGCCCAAGCCCCCCAGGGAAGGCTAGAGCCCTGAGGCCATTCAGCCCAGAGGAGCAGATTCCAAACCATAACAAGTTGTGGGGCAAGAGAAGTCGGCAGGCTCTGTGGTAAAAAGAAATAGATTTATTCTCATGTACAAAGCGGTCAGCCCACGGGACCATATACAACAGTTGCACAGAGTCCTAAAAAAACACACCTCTCTAAAGGCAACTCCAAATAGGTAAGGCAGGTGGCCCCCCTCCCCCCACCCCACAACACATACAGAACAAAGGAGAAGGGAGAAGCTGCCGGGCTGACCCAAGAGCCTGGCCCTGTGGGGTCTCCCAAGCCCTGGGGCATGGGTGGATATGGCCTTGAAGAGGAGAGACACCCTGCCAGGACTGAGGCCAGGTCTCTCTCTGGCTGCAGGAATGGGGGAGAGACTCAGGCTAAGGGGGTACACTCAGGGGCCACCCCTATCTGCCCTAGGATGTTAGGGGCATTCGATGGCCTCTCCTAGGACTCCAAAGAGCTATGGGATTTTTATCTAAAAGGGTCTCAGAGAACTGATTGTCTCACCCTCCTGTTTCACCCAGAAGGGACTTGCCCAGGGTCACACAACCAGGAGGAAGCATTGCTGACTCAACAGGGGCCGGTCTCCCAGCCCAGGGGTCCTTCCTGCCCATGGTTTCCATCCTGGTTCTTCCTGAGCCCTTTCTCCCCAGAGCACTGAGCGCCCCTCTGGCATCTTCCTCGTGGGATCTGCATCCATCTCCCCCAGAACCCCATCCTCACCTTAAGTGTAGTGGCGGTCCTCAGAGGCACCTGTGGCTATTTCTAGTCCTCCAGCAGAGCTAATGACTGATTCTAAGACCCACCCTCTGTTGCATGAGGATCCTGAAGAGGGAAAAAGGGTACCAATCTGGTAGAGCAAGACTGGGGCCCAGGAGAAACCGTTCAGGCTGCCTCGGGGAAGGAGTGGCTTGGGGAGGACTTGCCAAGGTGTGATCAGAGGTGCAGAGCAGGGCCCACTGCTCATGGGTCATCCCTATGCTCTCAGAGGACAAGTGACAAAGTCTTGGTGAGGCTGGAAGTCTTGCTTCCATTAAACAGACAAGAACACTGAGGCCCAGAAGGGCAATACTTGCCCAGGTCAAATGGGAAGTTCTGGCCTAGAACCCAGGACCCATGGCTCCGGTCCCAGGGCATCTGGCCAGGCCAGTGGAGGGTTTACAGGAGGAGACCTGGGCAGGGAAGGGCCCTGGAAGTGGCTCACTCAGTGTCAAGGCTGCAACAACCATTGATGGGGCCCCCAGTGCCATCGAGCTCAGACACCTCGTACTCCTCATCCAGGAAGTCCAGCGAGTTGTTACTCGGGAGGCCTCGGATGGTGAATTTGTGTGACACCTTGGTCCAGTGCTCACGGTTAGAGGCCACGCGTTCATACAGCTCTGCTGCTTTGGGGAACAGGTCCTGCAGCAGCCTGGGGGTGCACAGGGGCAGGGTTAAAGGTCAGAAGTCAGATAGTGACAGGAAGGAAGATTAGGGCTATACCACAGGGAGAATTTCCATAAGAGTGTGAAGCATGATGGTCTCTTTCCATAGGGGATCAAGGATGAAGAGAAGGGCCCAGTTAGGGGTAAAACAGGAGACTTCGGTGCCCAGAGGCAGCGGGGTGGGTCAGTGAAGCTGGGTCAAGCCCAGTTCAGTACCTGTGTCTGCTGTGTTGGCCGTAAACAGCCAGGCCCCACCCCATCCTCTCTGTGCAGAGTCCCCAGGAGTCCCCATGAGCTCCCTCACTTGTAGATGGGCATGGCGATGTGCTCCATGAAGCTGATCTGCAGCTCGGGGATGTAGGCCTTCTCACGGTCCATCATCTCCATTGGCCTGTTGCCCATGGCCTTCTCCTGCAGGCATCAAGTTATCAGGCCTGCCATTAGGCACCAGGATGGGGCTAACCCAGCCCCTCCCAGCCCCAGGCCAGGAACCCACCCGCAACCTGGGCACCCTGAGTCATTCCCCACATACCAAATCTCCCTGGGAGAAGAACTCCTTGTAGATCAGCTCCTGAAAGGCCAAAACTCTCATTACATCCTGTAGGTGGGATCTATCCACCCAAGCTCCTCTACAGCCCATTCCCAAGGAGGCAAACTGAGGTCTCCCTCAGCTCCACCTCAGGGCCTGTCCTTACCATCCCCAGCCAGTCAGGTGGATGGCCCCAGATGGGGAGGAATGGCTGGGTTCTGGCCCACCTTCGACCAGCCACTGACTTGCTGTGTGACCCTGGGCAAGTCCATGCCCTTCTCTGAATCCCTCCATCTGTCACCCCGAGGTGGTTTAGGTTTCCATTTCCCCCAAATAAGGCCAGGCTACGCTCAGCACAGAAAGGGTGCTCAGGTGCAGGAGCCACACAGAGCCAGGCAGGATGTGAAGCCTGCGTCTTCCCAGGGAGGGGCAACCCTTACTGCAATCTTCCTTGTGGTCTTCCAGCCCTTGGTCTGGTCAGAGAGGTCACAGGAGGTCATAAGGAGGCAGAGGAGGAGGCTGTGGTGCTGCTTATTGGTTCGATCATAGCCCACTGTTGGGAAGAGGATGGGGTCAGCCTCCTGGTACTCTCTCTCTGAGGACAAGGTCCTCAGGCCCCACCCCAAAGTGGTCCAGGGAATTTGGCATCCTGGATGGGAGCCAAGAGGCTGGGGCTGGGTCTGCCTGGTGGTTGATGCTGGAGGGGGTGTGTCTAAACTCTTTGGGATGCTCTCCAGGCAAATCCCCCTCTTGGGGTTCCTCCCCAACGCCAAGGGCCAGGGCTAAAGGCAGACACCTTCAGCCATCTTCTGGAGGTCCTTGAAGATGCGCAGGTGGTGGGCCAGGTCCGTGGCCAGGATGATGTCCCGCATCAGGTCCAGCATGCGCTGATAGTCCTGGGTGCCGGGAGGGAGATGTCATGGCCTCCTGCCAGACACCTCCACCCAGTTCCTGGCCTTGAGGAGCCTCCACCCATAGTCCCCTTCTCCTGTTTTGAGCCAACTCCTGGCTCCCACCCCCTCACCCCCACCCGGGCCCCATCACCTTCCGGGAGAAGTGGTCGAAGATGTTGCAGCCATGGGTGTTGAGGATGGCGATGGCCTGAGCGAAGTGGTGCCTCTGGGGGGGAGAGGAGTGATGGGGCCTGGATGGAGCAGGGGGCTCCCTCACCACTGACCCCAAAAGAGGGAGTAGGCCCAGCCCAGCCCCGGCCCCAAGGTGAGCAGAGCAGGCAGAAACAGGGAGTCAGGTCCTAGTTCCCTTTCTGGGCACTGTTTCCACCCGTGGTGTGACCAGGGCAAGGCCCTGGCTGGCTCGGAGGCCCAGATTCCCCAGCTGTCACAGGAAGGGACACGGCAAAGAAAGCTCTGAGGGCCTCTCAAACTGGAACCGTTCTGAAATGATCCCTTGGAGTCCTAGGCACCAATTCATGCAGCTAAAATTTGTTTGCTGACAAGGAAAGGCAGTGCTGAGGCAAGGGCAAGGCCTCTGTCTCCAGACACTGAAGGGCTGTCAGTCGGAGGAGGAGGAGGCTCAACGAGGGTGCGAAGGGCAGAAGCAGGGCTGCTACAGGGCCTCCCAGGAGGGAGGGAGCCCCTCATCTCCGGGGGTGTGCAAGCAGGCAGTCTCTGGAGAGTGTAGTGGGGGGCAGCGTGGGGCAAGGTGACCTTGGAAGTTGGGCTCCCGTTCTGTGCCAAGCCCTGTGCCAAGTGCAGTGTACTCAGAGATGTCTCAGATCTTGTTTCTACCCCAAGGAGCCCCCATCTGGGGGGGGTGTAGGCCAAAACCAAATAATCCAAGGGAAAGCTGAGTGTGATGGGAATGGAGCCCCTTCCGGGCTTGGTGGGGAGGGTCTGTACGGGGTGTTCCCAGACATGCAAAGAGAATCGTGCTAAATAAAATCCTCTTTTTGAAAACCTGGGCTCCAGCAGAACCTGCAGTCTGACTTGCACACCCATGCACACCTGCACCCCTCCAAGCCCATCCAGGAAAAGGAGCCAGACATGCCCTGGGGGAAGCTGCAGCTCTCGCCGCCTGCCTGAAAAGCAGGGGGTGGGAACAGGAGGAGCTGGGTCACAGTCTAACTTTGCACATCACCACCTTATGAGGAGGAGGAGGAGAGGGAATGAGGGGAGGGGAGGGGAGGGGAGGTAGGGGCTGGGGGAAATGGTGGTACCTCCATGACAGAGCCCTCAGAGCTGTAGAGCGCAGCCAGCACAGATTTCTGGAAAAGCCGGGAAAACTCCATCACTCTTCACATCCAGATCCAAGTGCTTAGGCCATATTAAGCCAAGCACTGCCCTCCTGCCCTCTCCCCTCCCCCATCCCAGAGCCCAGCACAAAACCTAGGACAGCCTCAGGCTCCTGGTCCCACCAGCTCCCACCCCTCCTCGGCCTGGAGAAGTAAAATGCCCAGACACCCCAGAGAAGGTGCCACTGTGAGGAGGGCAGGATCTCACCGAGGCCACCTGGAAGGAGTTGTTTGTGCCTCTGTGGTCCAGGTCGTGACACATGCAGGAAACAAACAAGGCAAAGATCTCGATGTCCCTGGTTGGGAGACAGAGGAGAGAGGTCCAGCCACAGCCTCCTCCCCAGACCCTCAGAGGAGGGACAGCTCGCTGAGATGTCCAGGAGCCACCAGGACAAGAGCTCAGGACACCTGGGCCCCCTTCCCGGAAAGAAGCCCTGGTTTAGAGTTTGGCAAGCCCATCATTCCCTGGGATTGTGACTGTGAGCAAGTTCTGGCTGGGAAAATGGGCCCTCACTGGACTGTTAAGAGGGTCCCTCAGATGGTGCATGTAAAGTGCTTGACACATAGAAGGCGTTTCCCCGTGCCCAGGAAGGGGATCCCAGCGGCTAACGGATGGGGGAAGGGCGGCCACTCACTCGAGGTAGTTGGTGAGCTCCAGGTTCTTGTAGAGCAGGTAGCAGAAGTGAGAGACAGAGAAGGCGTGCATCCAGTTGTGGTAGGGTGGGTCCCGGTAGCCCTTCTTCACCATCAAACAGAACCTGGGGGAGGGGAGAGGGCAGCAGAGGGGCCTCAGGCTCTCCTCCAGGCAGCCCTTCAGGCTCTGCGCTTCCCCATTCCTTTCCTTTCCTCATGGTCCCAGTGTCTAGGAACTGCCTCTCACTCATGGAGCCTGCCCACTCCACCAAGACTGAGTCTTCCCTAGTTGTTCCAGACAGACCCCTTCCCAGCAGGCTGGGGGCAATGGATGCGAGAGCTGAGGACAGAGGAAGGCAGAGATGGGGCTGCCCGCACGCGGAGGGGAGGGCTGGGGCACACACCGGGCCAGTGTCGGGCAGTCAATTTTATAGTTGTTGATGAAATTCATGTCCTGTAGCATGCTGAGGATGGCCTGCAGAGGGCAGAAGGGAGGGGACAGAGGGATTGTCAGTTTCAAGACAGTGCTCCTGCCTTGGCCCTTCTTGAAGCCTACACAGTTGTGTTGGAGTCTTAGATGTTTAGATCTATACTAGAGAACCATAAAATAGCAGCACCAAGCATTCTCGGAGCCAAAAGCGTTAAGAAATATGGTATCTAAGAACTCTTGGAACCAAGCTCTCCTAAAATCTTAGAAACACAGGGAGTGAGGTGCCAACCCCGAGACCACCAGCGGAAGCAATCCCTGCCAATCATCCAGCCAGCCCCTGGCCTCTGGGCAGGCCCCGCGGCCCATGCTGGCACACCACATGCCCATTCCATCTCTAAGGGAGACTCTGTAGGCTTCCTTGATGGCTCTGTCTTGCCAGGAAGTTCCTGTGTACATTTAACTTAAATCTCTGCCTGTACACCCTCTGCCTCGTTGCGGGGAGGGGGAAGCTCACCATGGAAGTGTCATCCTCGGGAAGAGAGCGAGGGGTGTAGGTGAAATTGGCGAAGTTAGAGTCAATGGAAGCCACAGGCTGGATGCCGTCATGGAGCAGTTTGGTGTATTCGTCATCAGAGACCTACAGGGGACCAGCCCGGGTATTAGACCCCTCACCCAGAGTGTCCCCGGTTGAGCCATCCAGTCCATGGACTGGTACTGCACAGGAGATCACCACCCTCCCCTCACAGCCCTGCGGCCACCTCCTGAGCCTCCTTGTCTGTGACCACCCTCACCTGTAACAACCTATTCTCGGCAAAGACAAAGGACACCCTTTCGTGACGCCCCCGAACCAGGGCAGCCTTGCACAGACACTAACTTCAAGATTCCTTATTTGGGAGGGGGGCCGTCTCTGGAAGGACCTCAATCCTTCCTCCTACAGCTTTGACTCTATCCACAAAGTCTGGGGCCCTTGGGACAGGTGAGAGGAAATGTTTACATCAACAATGACCACCACATGCTGAGAACTAAAGCCAGAAAGAGCGTTGCTGACACAGGGTCTGGGAATGGAATGGAATATTATCATTAGGACTTCAGGACTCCTGAGCCTAGGGGAGCTGTGGCAAGGGCCCTGAGTGAGCCTCGCAGTCATTCCCAAGATGGGAATTATCCCTGGAATGGGGAACACCTGGCCGGACCAGGCTCTTCCCCAGGGTGGGTGCTGCTGCCAGCCTCGGGGCTGAACTAGAACATGCCTGGAGCTGGAGTCCAGGCATTGCACTGGGTCTGTCTTCTTATCTTCATGAGGAGGGTGATCAGAAGCCCAGCCTGGTCCTGGGCCCAGGAGGATTTGGGGAGGCAGGGGACCTTGAGACCCTGAGGAGGAGGACAGAAGCTCCATGCAAGCCTCACCTTCATGTGGTACATCATCATCTCATTGGCGAGGTGGCTGCGGTACTGGGCCTCATTCACCTTCTTGTAAAGGAGGGACTAGGGGGAGAAAGGGGAAGAATGTGGCTCAGCAATGTGGCTGTGAAATCTCAGAATACCCAACCCTGGAAAGGGGGTCAGACAGAACCTCCTGTGCTGGCCCAGGTGTGAGCCTTGGCGCTCCAGCCGGGAGTATGAAGCCCCACCCAACCTTCATCTAGACCTCCCTTGCTTCGCCTCCTAGGATCTCTTAGCACTTGAGCTGGCCCTTTGCATCCCCTCCTGAGCCTGCCCTAGTCTTCAGTGATGGGGCCCGAGGCCCACAGCAGAGAAAGAAAACAAGGAGGGGGTCAGTGCCAGGCACCAGTGGGTTGGAGTCCCATGGAGAGCTGCCAGCTGTGGACAATGAGACCCAATATTTCCCCAAAAGAAGTCGACCAGGGGCTTGGGTTGAGGTTGCCTCCAGAGGAGGGTGGGGGTGAGGCAGGTGAATAATGACAACTGGGGTTTCCCACGGTCTGGGAGGCTAACGGGATAGGACGGGAAATCATAGATGTTCAGATGGGAAACAGGTCAGAAGTGACCAGCGGTACAGAAGGTTGCATAGCAACCCAGCAGAGGGGCTCTGAGTCCCAGTGTGGAGAGGAAGGCAGAGGGTCCTGCGCTGTCTCCACCCCTGTCTCCACTCACATGGGCGATGCTGATGCCGCAGTAGATGGAGAAGGCGGTGGCCAGGTCCTCATCGAACTTGCTGAACCATGGACCGTTGATCTTGTTCACCAGCTCGGCCACACCGATCACCTCTGGGGGCAGGAGAGGGGCTAGGACTGGCCAGTGGATGTGTCTGGCGGGGATCTGCCTTCCCTGCTGTCCTCAAGGGAACCCATGCCTGGGAAGCCTGCGCCTTGTGCTAGGGGACTCTAAGGCAGCAGGGAATGGTTGCCAGCCCCTCCATTCGGCTCCGCCCCATCCTGCTCAGTCCCCACCCCAGATTGGCCCCAGACGGGCCCCGCCCCTCGTGGGAGCCCGCACCCTTGTTCTCGTTCTTGATGGGGAAGCAGAGGATGTTGCGCGTGCGGAAACCCGTGCTGTCATCCACGCCGCGGTAGAAAAGCGGGTGTGCGTAGGCGTCCGGGATGTTCAGGATCTGGCCTGTCGTCGCCACGTGGCCCGCTATGCCCTGGTCCGCCGGGATGCGTATCTCATAGCTCTGCAGGGGCAGGCAGGGGTTGAGAGGAAAAAGTTAGTGACTGTCCACAGAGCGGGCCATGAGGCCTTCTGCGGACACTCGACCCCCTTCTCCTCCCCTAGCCCCCCCCCACCCCCCAGGACCACAGCAACACTCTCCGTGGGGCCCTGCCTCACCTCATCTTCCACCACGCCCCCGTCGAACACCTTGGCCACCAGCTCATTTTGATCCAGCAGGAACACAGAGCAGCTGCGGGGAGAGGGCCTTGGTCCACAGAGCCCTGACACCCCTCTCCAATCATTCCCGCTCCTCACAACTTGAGGAGGAGCCCAGATTTCTAAGGCTGGAGGAGTGATCTGTGCTGACTCTCCTCGGGGCTGGCTGACTCCTGACATTAGTTCAACCCAATGGATTTTTTTTTTAAGCGCCCACTTTGTGCCACGCATTGTAATTAGGAGCTGAGGACCCATGGCCAGCAAAGCAAACCCCACTGTGCTGTCATTGGACGTTACAGTCTAGGGATGGTCACAGGCATGAAGTAAAGGATCATACAAAATGTACTGGGGTCCCACAGGAAGGCAGTGGAGGGGGAAAGGGAGGGAAGGAGAGGGTGCGGAATGAAGCCTGGGGCCTCTCTCCCCCGCCCAGGGGTAAATTCACTCACATCTCAGCATTGCTGAGGTTTCTGGCCTCTGTGATGATCTCCTGGAGCAGGACAGAGACGTCATCTGAGAGAGGGAGAAGCGTGGGGGGACAGTGGTGAGACTGGGCTGGAATGCCAAGGCCAAACCCTCCCACCTCGCCTCCCCCAAACTCCAGCCCCCCCTCCCACCCCACAATCAGGCAGGGAGGAGGACAGTGCACTCACCCAGGTGAGTGAAGAGGTTCTTTGCTACTTGGAGAAGAGCCTAAAATGGAGAAAATAGAGATCACTGAGGCCCAGGCTACAGAAAGTGACCCTCTCCAACCTGTTGCCTCCAACATCCCCAGGGGCTTTTCATTCCTCTCCTAGGGCTCTTCACACATGCTGGAGACACAGAGTCTAATTGTGTCATTTGGCTACTAAGTGGAGGAGTGGGAGGAACTGCCTCCGCGAAAGTGTATAGAAATCTACAGTCTCAGATGTGCATTCACTTTAGCTTCCAGCCACCCAGCATTGCTGTAGTACCCGAGGTGAACACTAGAGGGCGATCGCATACAGCGCCTGCAGCCAGTGGCCACTCTGAGGAATCCGTGACCGGCCTCCAGAGCTCTAGGTAAACCCCCTGCCATGGTCCAGATAGACACGGGCTTTTCCCTTGTGGATAAGTCACTGGGGCTGAGAGCTGGGTGACTGTTCCTGAGAGAGGCGCAAGGCAGGCCACTCACCTGGCACTCACACTTGAGCTTCTGCTCCTTCTGGAATGCCAGGGTGCTTGTGAGCACCGTGCTGGTGTAGTGAAAGCAATGCTGGACCACGTGCTTGTCCTGATCCGTGAATCTGGGGAGGGAGGCGGGGTCATCAGAGGGAGCGGATGACAGACTTCTCCCCCACATTTCTCATTTCCATTCCTCCAGGAAGCCCACTCAGAGATCGCCAGCTAAGCATCACTCTCCTCAACTGGGGCTGCTCACTGCACAGCTGGCTTGGGGCAGCTTCTCCCTCCGACTCGAGGCCCTGGGGAGGCTCTAATTCTCCTCAGAACTAAATGTGTTCTCCTCCTCAGGCTATTGCTTCTTGAAGCCCGGCCATGTCTCCCTCTGCTGACTTTAGATTTACCCAAACTGAGGCTGGGTCAGAGCTGGGTGTTCTCCTGCTCCTCCCCGGAAGCCCCTCCAGGCTCAGGATGGGAGTGACACTGCCCTGTTTTGTCCAGCTCTAGTCCCTGTCCTACTCTTGCAGGACTTGGGGTGCTTCTCCGCTTCAGCCACACTAAAATCCTTATCATTCTGAGAAAAACCCCAGTTCCTTCACACCTTCATGCTTTTCCCTACACTATTCCCTCTGCCCAGAATCCCTATCCCACTATCCTCCCTCTATGCCCTGAAAATAAACTTTTAGTTTTGAAGGCAGGGACCATAACTATATCACCCCATGTCCAAGGCAGAGGCTGGTACAGGGGAGATGTTTGGGAAGTGTTTGCTAAAAAGTCTTAACTGTGCTCTACCTCTGCCCTGGCCACCAGCCCCACCATACTCCCTGCTGAAGGAATTCTGGAACCCCTGTTCTCTGAGTTGCAGGCAGCGTCCCTGCAGTCAGGCTTTGAGCTGAACCCCATCTCGGCTCGTGCAATCATTTAGCAATCACTCCCTGAAATATGTGGAACCCAGAGGTGGTCCTGTCCCTGCCCTGGGCCTTGGGGCTGTCACCAAGGCCCCATCTCATTTACCATCTGATACCACCCCTTCTCTAGGTGTAGAGCCATCTCAGAACCCAGTCCCACCACCAGCAGCCAGAGTCCACAGCCCCTGCTGGAGAGGTAGTGAGCTCTGGGATGGTGGGCTCTCTGGAACCCACAGAGCATCACTGGCACAGTGGACAATGGCTAAAGGGAATACAGACTTGGGGGCCAGGCGAACCTGAGGGTCTTTATAGGCACTGACAGGGCAGCTATAAGAATCATACAAAACAGAATGGTGGGCAGGACACAGAGGCAGGTAAACAGGCTTAGTTAGGAGGAATCTCTCAGGAACTGAGATCAGATTTGGGATCTAAGAGTGGTACCATAAATAGATTTCATGTCCTATACCAACTTGCTGATTGGCAGTAGCTGGACTCCCGCTCACTCTGCACTCCTCTCCCTAAAGGCCTTTCCAGAGCCATCTGGTCAGCACACAGCTGGACACAGTAGG